AGGCAGCCCTCTCCCTTACCTCTGATCTATCAGTCATCTCCCCGTGCACATCTTCTCTGTATCCATCCACTTATCCATCTATCTGTCCATCCCTCCATCCCTCTACCCATGGTAGTTCACCCTCTAGGGACCCAGGCCCGGCCTTTCCAGGCAAAGCACTCAGCCCCACAAAGATTTACCCACCTCAATATAATGGTGCCCAGGAGCAGCAGGCCAGGGCTGAGTGGGGTCAGGATACACACTTCCTCCCCTCCTCTCCCAGGTGAAGATCATGAGCAGAGCCACATGATCACGGCCAGGGCAACATTACTGAAAGCAGCTGCCCAGTGCATGGGGTGGCCTGGGGTCAGTCACGCTTTGATTGAGTTATTCAGTGACCACTTGCAATTGAGTGGTGTCACTCGGCAACCACTTACCTGTCTGTGTCTGCGTCTGCCTAAGCAGCTTCTCAGCGGCACGTTGCCCCAGGGGCCTGAGGATTTCACACCTGTGTGTTCTTGTCTCTTCCTGCCAGCCTGTGATGGGCTGCATTTCCCGTCCACCTGCCAAGGGTGAGACCCTGCGACAGACACTTGGGGCGGGGGAGTAAGGTGGTGGAAATGAGTAAGACGGACTCCCGCCCCCCAAGAGTTCACCGAGGAACTGGGACAGGAGGAAGGCCAGCCTCATCCACAAGGTGCTGTAAGCTGTGTATAACATTTCCCCTTTGGGGACCTTGCGCGGCATTGCTCTCAGGTGGTAGCTGGTCCCCAGTCGCTTTTCCATTACGGAAATCAATAACTTGAATTACTCCAAAATAACTAGCCCCTTCGTGCCCCTGCAGATCTAATTTTTCTGTGTCTGCATTTGCCCACGTGCTTCTCTCTGAGTCGGGAATCTGTCTTCATGGGTCAATCCAGGTAGGACGGAGCCTTTTGTCTGACTGTGACACACAGTGGCCAAATGAGGGCAGGGCTTCGGGGCAAAGACTTGGGTTCAGGTTTTGCTCTGATGCTTACTAGTTGTGGGCGCTCATCAGGCTACCTAACCATCCACTTTCCTCGTCTATAAAATGAAAATTCAAATATAACCACCCACCAGAGTGCTAGAGAATGAAGTGGAATAACAGTGTACCTGAATTCCTGGCATACGTTAGGGAATCGGTGGACCCTTTATGTAGACAAATCTCTAGCATGAGGCCACTGTATAATGAGGTCGTAGTGTAATTTCAACAATAACGTTATATCTTAGAGAAACAGATTATCATTTACAAAGACGTGTTCTCACAATGCATTCATTTTACAAATGGCAAGCTGAGACTCGGTGTGGTTAAGTGATTGACTGGGGGTCCGCGGACTGGTCCAGCCCTCTGACTCCCTTCAGACTCTTCCACCTCCCCCATCATCCCAGTCAGAACCACGAGTCCAGGGTGGTGCACACTAAGTTCTGTCCAGAAGATGCTGAAGTGGCAGGCCCTTTAAATGGCCTCAGAGGAAGAGCTGTGAGCACAGCACAGTCTGCCCTCAGCACCACCAGGAGAATAAATCCTCCCAAATCAGCCTGAGAAGGGTCATACGGAACCCTTGGAAGGCTGGACTCTGAAAGGAGGGAAAGAACACTTATTTCATGCCAGGCACATTCACAGCTAGTTTGTCACTGACTTCAAAACCAGTTGTTCTTCACCTTTTGGGGCGGGTCATTTTGAGAATCTGCTGAAAGCTATGGATTCCCTTCCCTAAAGGTACATCATTCTGCATACAAGTGCTGGGGGTCAAGCATAAGAGCTCCTGGCAGAAACCTGGGCTGTTTTAAGATTTCCTTCAGTACCAGGGACCTTCTCTTTTAAAGGCTCCACCCCTTTAAAATCATATCAAACATTTCCATATACACCCACAATCCACAATCGCACACATACACACACACACAGACACGCGCACATACTAGCTGAGTCAAACTGCAGTTGACTGACATAATGTATATTTTGTAATCATGTCATAAAACATTCATTTCAGTTTTGTGTTTTCTTTTCCTATTCTGGAGCAAATAAACTTTCTTGATAAATTTTATTGAAATGCATCATACATATAGAAAATATGCAGATCTGAAGTGTAACAGCTCAATGGACTCAAAGTGAGTACACCTGTCTAACTGCTGGAGCAATGGACCATCGGGCCCCCTTCCACTTGCTGCCCTCCCGCCCCAGGGCAGCTACCATCCTGACTTCTTACACGATAGATTCGTTTTGCCCGTATTAGAATTTGCTATTGGGGAATCATAGAGTTCACACTCATTCTATGTCTGGCTTTATTCGTGGAACCAATACACTTTTTCATTCAGGTCTCAGGCATTGTCAGAGGTCTGTGAAAAGCTCATGGACTCTAGGTGCTGTCAAAACCAGAGGTTCTCAACCTTGCCTTCACACCGGAATCTCCAGGGGAACTTGAAAAACTCCTGATATCCAGGCTGCACCCTAGAAGAATGAAATCAGGGTCCCTGGGAATCGGACCAGGCATCAGCAGTTTTTCTTGCTCCCCAGGTGACTTTGATTACGACCAACGATGAGAAACACAAGTGTAGGCAATTCTGTAAAGTATCAGTATCCCTGTTTTACAGCTGGGGAAACTGAAGCTCCAGGAGTCTCTACCATATGCTACTGTCACGAAGCTGGAGCTCCGATTCAGGTCTGACTTAGGGTGCTCTTTGCACTGACTTCATCCATGGAACAGTAAAGCCCAAACCAGGTGCCTCCTGCCAGAAACGTCCTCACTGTAAGTCCTTCCAGAGCTGTGGAGAAGCGGGGTAGGGTTTCCCAGGATAAAAGACCCTCCGGGAGAAAGGCAGCACCCCAGGGGCTGGTGGTCAGGAGAGAGTCACCACCAACTGGACTCCATCTTTGCACTGTGCCCCCTGGAAGCCACAGAAAAGTCCTTGCAGGTGGGAGCAGCTGCTGGTTTTGAGGTCACAGAGAAGTTTCCCAGCAGCTGAGTTGCTCTGAGGGTGCAGTACACAATTCTGCCTCTCAGTGGCACCATGAGCTTCTGTAAACCCTGTGGTTTTCACACACCCCCTGCTTTTGGCCCAAGGAAGCCAGACCACAGAATCGGAATCAGGAGGTGGTGATGGGTATGCAGCAGCCCAGAGCTGCCCGGAGGTTCCTTTGCTTCCCAGGGCCCGATGGGTCCTGTCCCAGGCTGACAAGGGGTGTGCAAGGATATGGCTGCCACGGACCCAGGAGAGAGGCTTCTTCCCCATAACTGAGCCAGCAGAGGAAAGCCAGGCAGAGAAGCCATGCCTCACCTGGCTTCTCCCCCATCAGCCCCTCACCAAGCTGCCCCTGTGGGCCTCACGCCCCGTGAGGAGCAGAACCACCCATACTCCCATGATGCCCTGGGCTTGGAAGTACCAGCCCCCCCTCAGAGCCCAGGCACCATGCCAATTCATTCCCTGGGAATCTGCCAAATCCTCACCCTAGGATGGCTAACGGGGTCTCTGAAGCTTATATCATCTTTCCCACAGTTTAGATGAGACAAAACCAAGCTTGCCACTTTCTAGTTGTGTAAGTTTGGACAAATTACTGAACTTTCATGAGCCTCAGTCTCCTCATCTGTAAAATGGGAATGCTAGTCCATAACACAGAGAGTTGTGAAGATTGAATGATGAATCATGTAGAATCTTAGCCTAGTGCCTGGCACATAGTAAGTCCTAAATAAGTGTTAGCTACTATTGTTTATTATTACTAATAATAATAAGGTTGCAAACAGGACAGAATGAACCTACTCGCACGTTAAAAAACAGCTCCGTTGTTACAAGGTTCACACACCCCAGGTCTGAGCAGAGTCAGTGAGTCCAGCTTGCCTCATGCTTAGGCAAAGGCCCAGCTTCCTCTTAGAAGCAGAAAATACAAGCATGGAAGCCACTCAGAGTCCCATTCAGAGAGGACACCCCCAAAGCCCCCACCAGAGGTGGAGCCATTGTCCCCAGAGTCTGGTAAGATCTTCTGTGGGCCCACAGACCTGTGTGTGACCCTGGCCACCCTGAAGCCTTAGGCAACTTCCACTTGGGTGTCATCTCCATGGTGTCAGAGTGAGCGCTGGGTCAGGAGACCTCAGCTCTAAACCTGGCACAGTTGTCGACCAGCTGTGTGACCTGGGGCAAGTCACTCATCCTCTCTGGGCCTCATACTGCCTCATTTAGATGATCTTTAAATCCCCTTCCACACCTCTGCCATATGTATTTAGCAAAGTATCTGGAACATAGTAGGTGGTCATTAAGTGTTATTTAATTTCATAAAATCCAAGACACAACCCTGCTAGGTTCTAGCACCCACATACTTTTCTTTAGAACTGAGTGACCTGTGTGATCCAACCCTTAACAGGGCCCAACCCAGGGTAAGAGCTCAAGAAATGGCTTTATATCTAATTAATTCATGACTTACTTTTGACCTGGCTTTCAGTCCAGCCTCTTCCCCCTACCCAAGGCTTCAAGGGCTGCATAAAGGCTCCAGGTTAGAGGATGCAGAGTGTCTGCCTCCCCACTAGACTACAAGCTCCAAGAAGACAGGGTCCATCCTGCCTGTGTCAGGGCACTGTCTCTTCAGGAAGACACTCAGCCCCGCCTCCTCAGCGTGAGGTGGGTGGGGAGCCAAGCATCCCCTCACTGTGGTCCTGGGGCAGAGTTCTGGACCCCAGCGCCATGAGGAAGAGAAGCAGCACAGAGCCTCAAGCTGGGCAAGACATTTTATTGGAAAAAGAAATAATAAAACGGAAGGCCACGGCATCGCCTGTGCCTAGCTATGCCACGGAAGACGCACACCAGCCACACGGTGGGCCAGGGTGGGCACAGGCCGGGGTCAGGGGGCTGTGGTCGAGCTCCCTGGGCTTCAGCTCGCCTGGGGGACCCACTTAGACTCAGGGGCTGGGCAGCCCTCTCCAGCTCCCTGGAACCTTCCTACACTACCATGTCCAAAAGAAAATTAGGCCCTCTTTGGTTCCAGAAAGCTCCCTGCAGTGGCTGGTTTTTCATATCCACTTTAGCACCTCCTGCTGGCTGAGGCAGGCAGCCTCCTGTCCATCTTCAGGCACCAGGACAGGGCTGCTTCCTTCCCACTGGCCCCACTGGGCCTCCGCAGCCAGGGCCTCATTGGCCGGACCCCCCTTCCAAGAAAGGAGTCTGCCTTTCCCCTGCGGGTCGGCATCTCCTTTGACCTTCCAAGGAAACCTTGCTCGCACAGACTTAGAGGGCCCCTGAGCCCGGGCGGGCAGAGTATGCAGTGTTCATGGCCCTGGTGCCTTGTTACGGGGGACTGGGAGTGGGCCATAGAAGGCCCTGGAAGGTTGGCTTTGCTCTCCTGGAACCTTAACTTCCTTTTTGTTAGAATGTACGCAGCAGAGTCAGAAGGTGAGGAGAACCTTGCAGGTCGGGGAGAGGCCAGGGAGAAGAGTCAAGCTGGCAGTCCCAGGTAAGGGGCAAGGGGCATCAGAACATTTATTTACAGGGAGTCAGGCTGCACCCACACTGGGACGCAGCCACAGACCATCCCGTGGGAAGATGTGACAGGCTGCAGAGAGGGGCAGTCCCTGTCCCAGCAGGAAGGGGAACATACAAGTGCACTCGCACACATACCTGCACTCACACGTGTGCTCACAGTGCACTCATGCACACCTGCGCTCACACGTACACGTGCATTCGTGCACATAGTGCACTCACACACGTGCTTGCGTGCACACACACTCATTCTCACACACATGCAGGCTCTAATCTCAGGAAGTTGGATTCATTTCTGGAGGTTCAACTCCCCCCCTCCAAGGCTGCATCTCTCCAGGAAGCATTTCTCCGGACCCCACATAACACCTGGAGGCCTGCAAAGTCACAGGAGTTGGACACCTCTTGGCAAGGCCAAGATAGCCTCCAGGCTCTGGGTGGAGGACAGGGACACCATCAATCTAGAAGAGGTCAGGAGGGGGCTGGACAGCTCTCCACACAGCACCCATAGGCTGACCGCTCCTGTCTCTCCAGACGTGGGATTCAGTGGAGGCAGGACCACAGACAGGCAGAGGCCCCGTGGTGGCATCAGAAGAAGCAGGTGCTGGGAGACAGCCATGAGGAGCAGGGCCCCGAGGGAGCAAGGCCTGTGGATTTGGGGTGAAGAATCATGCAGGATGGGAATTCTCTACGGGACAGACCTGGATCCTTTCCTGGGGTGTTGGGGGAGGAGCTGCAGAGGAAAAGGGTTGTTCAAATTGTGCTGTCCCCACCCCAGCCTCCCCCTGGAAGACCTGCTGCCTCTGTGTGACCGAGACCAGCCCCACTGGGTAAGAGCCAGGTCAGGAACCGGACCATCCTGCCAGGGGGCAAAGGGCAGGGGGCATGGGTGGATGGCCGCCAGGCAACACAGGGCCGGTCCCCCTCCCTCCCGCCCTGGGCAGCAGGGTGGGCCCAGAGAAAGACTCAGAAGCGGGTGCTCTGGTAGCGCAGCCGCCGCAGGTCTGCAAGGCCCTCAGTCCAGCCGTACACCTCCCTGCAGGGACTCTCGGCCAGTCACCGGGCCCCTGCCCCGCCGCCCCCACCGCTGCTGCTGCCGCTGCCACTGCTGCTGCCGCTGCTGGAGCTGCCACTGCTGCACCGGTCCTCATAGATGGAGATCTCGATCTGGGGTGGCGTTAAGGGGGGCTGCAAGCTGCCAGGCAGGGCGGACAGGATCCGGCTGATGGAGGCCAGCAGGAAACGGGAGGCAGAGCTGTGCTGCTTCCTCGACAGTAAGGACCCAGGGGCCTGGGGAGCGAGACCCAAGCCCCTCCTCGCACCTGTGCTCACTCTGCTCAGAGACACGGAGCCCAGACCAGCAGCTGACATTCTAGTGGGTCTATTACCATATCCCAGGACACGGATGTGCCCAGGACAGGGTGTTAATGCACAGGAAGTGGGAGGACTTGGGTGTCTTGAGTTCAAATCTCAACTCATCCTCTCTAAGCTATGTGACCATAGACCAATCACTTCCCCATCAATTATCTCATCTGTAAAATGGGGATAATAATAGAATCTTGAGATATTGTGAGGATTAAATGAAATCAAGCATGTAAAGCACTGAACTCAAGGCCTGGCATAGTGAAGGCTCCGTGACAAGAAGTACCTCTCCCTGGGCTTGGTAAGCATGAGATTCTGGGATTTGTGTTTTCTTTACTCTTTTTTCTCTCAGTTTCCCAGTAAAAGTTATTTTTTAACAATTCTGCTCTCACTGCTGCTAACTGAGGGGCAGGATGTGTGCACCTTGACCAAATGGAGTGAGCAGACCTAGAACCCATAGGTGGGCCAGCCTCCCATGGAGGCCTCACTTTTCTCATCTGTGAAAGGGACCTGCTACATGGGATTCAATGAGGGTTACATGTGAATGTGGACATGTTCATGCATGTCTGTGGAGATGTGCATATACCTTGAGGGGCAGTGCAGCCTGGTAGTGTAGAGTGGGCCTGCGCTTAGACCCTGGTTCTGGCGTTCACCAGCCGGGCAGCCCTGAGCCAGGGTCAGCTATAAAAGGAATAATGAGTTACCCACTCTATAGGGGTCTAATGAGAAGTATATGGATTCATACTTTCAAAGAACTGAATATGATGTCTGGCATGTATTAAGCACTGATTGAATGCAGCTCAATATAAGCAAATCCTAAAATTCACAAATAGCACCAATAACTTAAGGTGGGGGAGGGTGACTCCTAGGAAATCCGTGACCCTGAGCAGAGGCCTCTAGGGTGGCCCTCTCTCCTGGCAGCCTCACCAGGGGCCCCACTTGTTGGCAACTTTGTGCCCTTGCACGGAACAGCCGGAAAGGATACAACCCTCATCCCACGCTCCACGGGGTCTGTGAGTAGGAGGCCTCTAGGGGCGAAGATCTTCTCATTCTGCTCCTGGATGTAGCGCGAGATCTTCTTGAGAACCTGCAAGGAGAGGGGCCTGTTGATGATGAAGGTGACGCATGGGAGCCCCAGGGGCGGAGATGCGGGGCTGTGTGGGGAGAAGCCACCTTCTCATAGTGGGTCTCCATGCAGAGAAAGATGAAGTAGGCCGTGGCACAGGCCAGGCAGCCCTCCAGGTAGGAGCTGCCCCCAATCTTCTCGGCCTCCGCGTAGAAGCTGTTGAGGGTCTTCACAGTCTCCTCAAAGAGCTGCCGCTCAATCTGGAGGGAGAAAGGGACAGGGAGACAGGAAGAGGTCAGCCCCCCTGAGTGTGCACAGTCACAGGAGGGAGGGAGGGTCTCAATGCAGTGGTGGGGCCACCTGGGGGGGCTGGGAGGGAGCGCACAGTCACGACCAGAGAGGCTGCAAGTGCCCATGGAGCACTGGACTGGGAGTCAGGAGACCTGGGGTCCAATCCAGACTTGATCACCAACAAGCTGTATGACCCTGAGCTAATGGCTTAACTACTCCACCCTCAGTTTCCACACCTATAAAATGAACTAAGAATGAGTACTTGGCCCCCCTTAGAAACAGGAAACTCCCATGAGATCCTCGATATGAACATTTTATACAGCAGATCAGGCAGGAATTCCAGTGACTTTGTCTTTCTTTCTTTCTCTCTCTCTCTCTCTCTCTCTCTCACACACACACACACACACACACACACACACACACCACTGTGATGGCTACAGGAGAGCTCAGGACCTAACTGGTAGGGACTCTCCATGTTTGGATGGGGCTCCAACAGCAAGAGACTGATTCTGTGAGACCTCAGGAATGTCCTTCCAGGAGAGGGCACTTCCTCCCAGCCAAGAGGTCACCCAGAACACAATAGCCCTGTGTGTTTGGACAACTGAGAAGCTATGCTGCTGGCATCCATAACCATAATAGCTAATATTTATCAAGCACATTTATTAAGCCAGGCATTTTTTAGGTATTCTTTCATTTAAGCCTCATAACGATCCTATCAGGGAAGTATGATGCCCACCCCCGTTGTACAGGTGAGGACCAGTGGAAGCTCTGCTTTGTGATCCAGACCATCATCATCTCTGGCCTCTTTAACTGGTCTGCCTGCTCCCAGCCCAGCCGAGTGGGCCTGGCAAAGTCAGATCATGTCATAACTCTGATCAAGAGCTCCCCAAGGCTCCCCATCTCTCTCCAAGTAAAATCCAAGAAGTCCCTCCAGGGCCTGGCCCTGTGAACCCTCTGAGCCCCACTGATGCCCACTGCTTCCTGAAAACACCACAGGCCCCTTGCGCCTGCATCCTCAGCTGCAGTAGTTTCCCCAGACACCCCCACCCCAGCTCATCCCTTACTCCCCTCAGGATTCGCATTATCCGACAGCATCCCCCCACCACCATCTTCTCCCCAGCTCCCTCTCTGAACTTGACCTCCTGTCTTCTATTTCTAGTATTTGTTACCACCTGAGCTACTATATATTTTCTTGCCCTTTAAAAAAAAATTTTGTATCCTCTGATAGAAAATAAGCACCATGAGTTCACTCCTACATTCCCAGTGCCTAACACATAGTAGGTGTTCAGTAAATACTTGCTGGGTCCTGCGTGAACGTGGCCGAGGCTCCACAGCTCCACCCTGAGTCTGTGCTCTTCCTCATGCACCCTCCACTGCTGGCCTGGAGTGGAAGCCCATCAGCTCCCAGCTCAGCAGGTGTCAGGGTGTCTCTTGCCTCATTTTTTATGTACTTCAGAGCACCCCCCTTCCCTACTCACCCCCACAGGATCAGAACTGCCCATCACACAGGTTAGGGACCTTCCATGCTGGTCTAGCACAAAAGCCAACCCAACTCCACCTTCCCAAACCCACTCAGATCTGCCTGTGTCAGGACCTATAAGCGTCCCATCCCGGACACTCTAATTGACTGTGGGTGTGGCCTGAGCACCATGGTTTTTGTAAGCTCCCCCGGAAATGCTAATGTGTAGCTGGGGTTGAGAAGTGCCGCTAAAGAGATTCCTGAACTCAGTCCTGCAACTGACTCAGCATCTCTGATGACACCTAATATCATCCAGTAAGAGGAATTTACATTTGTTTTACAAGCTCTCTAGGTGATTCTCTGAAATTTGAGAGCCACTGACCAGAAAGTCTCTGAGGTTGTCTCAGCTCCAACTTTCTAGGCAGCGACAAAAAGTCAATGTTAAGGACATTTTTTAGTTCTTCTGTGTGAAGTAGCTGAGCAAGTTGTTTTCTGTATTATTTTTATACTGAAAATATATATATATTTTTAATAAGCTCCTCAGTTCCATCACTTCCTGTGTGCCACTTTTAGAAAAAGATATCCTTACCCGGCTGTCCAGCTCTGGGGGGAATTTGGTCTGAAATTGACAAATGGTCCCATCACTGTAGTCTCTCTGGATAAAGACCTTAGTGGCCAGCGAGGCACTTCGCCGGAGCTCCTGCAGATTGTGGACCTGGGGAGACGTACAGGAGACACGTGCTCAGGGTGATCATCCTTGTAGCTTTGTGCAAGACTGAAGGGTTTACTGGGATGTGGGTCTTTCAGAGCTAGAATCAGGAAAGTTCCAGGAAACCAGGACAAGTCGGCCACCCCACAAGTGTTCCAGGATGGCCACAGGAAGCATACCTGTGGAGTTTACCCCAGAAGATGTCTCTAGCTATCCCAGAAAGATCTAGAAAAAGCCTGAGGACAGCCAAAGCTGAGCCAAAATGAGAGGTTCTGGAACCACCAACAGAGCCAGGAACAAATTTTAACAAGAGGAAGACACTTCCTGGTGGCTGGACCAGATCCTGCTGCCTCTCTCTCTCTCCCTCTCTCTCTCT